ATGTTTTGATGGTGTCCCGGTCGTGTTGTGACGGTGTCCCGGTCATGATGGTGTCCCGGTCCTGTTGTGATGGTGTCCTGGTCATGTTTTGGCGGTGTGCCGGTTATGTTTTGATGGTGCCCGGGTCATGTGACGGTGTCCTGGTCATGTTGTGATGGTGTCCTGGTCATCTTGTGATGGTTTTCCCGTCGTGTCATGTTGGTGTCCCGGTCACCTTGTGATGGTGTCCCGGTCATGTTGTGATTGTGTCCCAGTCATGTTGTGACGGTGTCCCAGTCATGTTGTGATGGTGTCTCGCTCATGTTGCGACGGTGTCCCGGTCATGTTTTGATGGTGTCCCGGTCATGTTGTGATGGTGTCCTGGTCATGTTTTGGCGGTGTGCCGGTTATGTTTTGATGGTGTCCGGGTCATGTGACGGTGTCCCGGTCATGTTGTGATAGTGTCCCGGTCATGTTGTGATGGTGTCCCCGTCATGTCATGCTGGTGTCCCGGTCACCTTGTGATGGTGTCCCGGTTATGTTGTGATGGTGTCCCCATCATGTTGTGACGGTGTCTCGGTCATGTTTTGATGGTGCCCTGGTCATTTTGTGATGGTGTCCCGGTTATGTGATGATGGTGTCCAAGGAAGAGATGGTCGATGTGTTGAAAACAGCAGCTGTTTCCAGATTTTTCTTTTTGTCCCGGTTTGTATCTTGCTATTGGGGTCTCCAGCTGGGCTAATTTAAGACATTCTTTTCAATCTGTTCTTCATTTTTCTGATATTCTGGCAGCCAAGACCCAAGTCGAGCAGGGGTAGTGAGGGGTATGGCGAGGGGGATGGCAGGGGATGCCACACTATGGCACAGCCTGCGGTAGCCGGTAGTTTGTGTTACTTTGTGATGCTCCTGAGGCTGGCTTGTTCCCGACGCTTGGCACACCAGAAGTTCGTAGAATCCATGCGCATACAGCACCCTTTCAGTTCTTTAAAGACGCCAAGGACCTCCTTGCCTCGGGGTTTGCCTGATGGTTTGCTCACACCCAACCTCCGGCGGCAATTTGTGCGCAAGGCGCTTCAGATTTACACTCTGTGACAACATGTGGCAGCGAAGAAGGCAAGCTCTTCCTGTTTGTACCTTTTGTTTTCAAGGTAACTTTGATCGGAGAGACCTTGAAGCGCTATGATGCCAAACGGCGGATGCTCGTCTCGTTCTTCAACATTTTATTCACGTAAAGATGCCGTGATGTTGTGCATATTGTTTGACAGGCTCAAAATTGTAGTTCTCCTGGGCGGCATAGTGGGTCACAGTTGAGACGGCACGTGAGAGAGCAACACTGCTTGATCAGTTGGCGAATGCTGTATGGAGGGGCACTGGCTACATTTATATATATATATATAATGCACACATTCCTTGCAAGTCTTATTTTCACACTTTTCAGGAAAGGCTTGCCGGAGAGCAGGCTCAGAGCGTACTGCAATCTTTGCGCCAGTAGCTGAGCGTTCGGCATCCACAGCAATTTTGGCAAGCGGGCACTCAGGGCATGGCAAAGCATTCCGAGGTACACTTTGGTAGCCTTCATGACGGCAAGAATGGCAGCAAGGCTCGCATTGGCGGGCTGCAACAAAATCATTGCGATTGAAAGTTTCTGATTTTGGTTTCAGTGCGATGCGTAAAAGGGAGCTTCCTCACTGTAACAAAATTAACCCAGCTTTGCAACCCAACAGCAGGTAGCAACTTAATTGAGTGGAACTGTTCAAACACTCCAACTATGCCATGTGTTTTAAAGCCCCAATGCAACTCCAATCGATTTGTGATGGGAAGGCCGGTTCTCTTTCCTTTTTTCACCCACCATGCACGCGCACACATTAAAAAACACCTTCTTAATTCTTATATATATTTCTATATATTACGAAAGCCAGCCGATAGGCTAGGCTTGAGCTCTTAGAGCGAACGAAGTGAGTTAAGGGGGTGTGGGGGGAGGGTGCGAAAAGGCACATTTTGAGAGGGTGAACCCGGAGCTTGGTGGGGGAGAGCGCTCCAAAGCGAGGGTCAGAAAAGGAGTGAAAATGTGGTCTGGTGATGCGAGTGATGCAATGGACGCCGAGTAGCATCATGAAGGGGTCGCAGGAGTCTCCATCATGCCTGCGACTATCAACAACAAGCTGCTCACGAAGTACATGAGGAACGGCCAACCCTTGTGCGCCAGCTTCTAGACGGAGAGTTGCCCCAAGGATCCATTCTATGAGCAGCACAAGTGCGCCATCGTGTTGCAGAGCGGCCGGGCTTGCGGTGGCGATCATAGTGTGCAAGTGGACAATTTTTCCAGTCCTGAGCAGGGCATAGGGACTGTGTAGCTCTGATCGTACCCAGAAGGACCAAGCAACAAAGAGTGAACGCTCTGGGAGCGAACGATGTGAGTATGTGCAGTTGGGCGAGGTAGAGGCTGGGGATAAGAGCGCCGCAAGAGGAGAAGCAAGAAAGCTGCAAGCGTTCAACACTTCATGCTGTGCTCCGATCTTGATCT